ACTCTAGTAATTCCCATGATCTTATCCATTTCATAACCTGTTAATGCAATCTTCTGTTCCTTTCCAAATGTGACAGCTCTCCTCAATTATGTCATGTTTAAACACCACTTAAATAAAGAGTTTGGTTTTAAAAGAAGAAAAAAAGAACTGAAAACTGTCTGGTCCAACAAATCCTTCTCTTAGACTGCATTTGAAAACTACGCTAGCTATTGGTTATATGCAAGCCCTATTTCACAGGCAACCTGGAAAATAGTCCACTTGGACCAGGTCAGCTATTTATAATTGCTGTTGAGAAGAAGATGTGTCATTTGTTGAAAAATATATAAAAAGTACAGTGAGTTTGTGACTGTTCGCTGAATATGTGACCCACAATCTCTGATTCTCCTCCATGGCCATGGAAAACTTAATATTTATAATGACAACAATTATGCTTTGTCATTTAAAACTTTCTAACAAAGAAATGGATCGACTTCTGTCAGCTTGTTGAACACACTTTTATTTGGATAATCTACCATATGATGGCTGAAGCAGCAGCGAGCATCCAGCGGGCGACACTGTTTTCATGCTAATCAGGTAAACATTGTAAACCAAATTCAACAAAACGTAAGAGAAAAAAAAATCAAATTATTATGCAGTGCGATCAAATAGCTTCTCTTCCCTGCAAACGATACAATGAAGAATGAATGAATGATTGTTTAACTTAGAGGCAAAAACAAAACAAAAGATAAGCAGTTATTTTTATAGAGAATGTGAAGTAACCATTGGAACGGATAGAGTATCGTGCTAATATGGCGGCGCCTTCCCGAAATGCAACGCGGAGTGAAAAGATTGTGACGTAACTTCTCATTCTCTATTGGCTTTGTTGAGGGAACCAGTGTGATGCTAACAGCCGATCGGCCTACAAAGTGACGTCATAGTTCCCCCACTCTATTATCGTGGTCACATGACGATATGAAAGATAGGAAAGATATTTTTAAACATATTTAAACTTCTTATTCTAACATAAAAGGTATTTAAAGTTGTGTTTGGTCAGTTATGCTTTGGCACAGTATCTGTCAAACGAATTAAAACCGAAAGCACAACATAGCTCAATCCCGTCTGTTTTCGCTGCGCGATTCAAAGCGAAGCGCACACATTATGCGATCAGCTCATGATCCGGTGTTTTCCGCGTCTCAGAACGGGTCAGTTCACAGTGAACGCAGTGAACTCGTTTATTGCATGTGCTGTGAGTTTAGCACACGTTTGGGAACACAACGGCCACCAGTTATGCTTTATTTTCATGGCAGATGATTACAACATTTCACTAGATTTGTAGTAAGACACGTTTTTGTAAGCCTGTTCTAATTTGGCTTCCTAAAACACCAGTGTGAATGTAATTTAGACTGAGACCATATATCACAAATAAAAAGAGGGTTGAGTCCCCTTTAAGTCAATTCACTGACTTTTTTCTGACTTAAGTTTTCTTAGTTGGAGCTCTTAATTTTGAACTCTCAAAGTGCATTAAATAGAATAATTTAACTTTAAAATACACCAAATTTTCATTTTTTTCCCCAATTCTTCATTTGTCTTTTTTAAATATCACAATAAATATCGTATCGTGGACTTCATATCGTGATATTATCCTGTCGTGAGATTTTGATATTGTTACATCCCTAAACATCACACACCAAATATTACTCTTTCTCTATACTCTACTCTAGGAACCCCAGAACTGTGTACTGATTAAACGTTTAAGTACCATGGACTCTCATCTTCTCCCCAGACCCTTCCATGGAGGAAGCATGAACTGAAGTACTCCACTGAAGACCCCAGTATTTTTATCTGATTTAGACTCTAGTAATTCCCATGATCTTATCCATTTCATAACCTGTTAATGCAATCTTCTGTTCCTTTCCAAATGTGACAGCTCTCCTCAATTATGTCATGTTTAAACACCACTTAAATAAAGAGTTTGGTTTTAAAAGAAGAAAAAAAGAACTGAAAACTGTCTGGTCCAACAAATCCTTCTCTTAGACTGCATTTGAAAACTACGCTAGCTATTGGTTATATGCAAGCCCTATTTCACAGGCAACCTGGAAAATAGTCCACTTGGACCAGGTCAGCTATTTATAATTGCTGTTGAGAAGAAGATGTCTCTAGACTGTGTGACCAAGCACTGGTCAGTTCTTGTTCTTTATACTTCCAGCCCTTTAATGCACATCTAGCTCAGATTAACACAAAAACCTGCACATTTTAGCCTTAACTGAACAATTGCCCTTGCACAAATGGCAAGCACCTTGCTCTCTGTGCATTTGGCGATTCAGAAAAGGTCTAACCTCAGATAACTGCAAAAGTATTTTGTGTTAACCACCCTTTATACTATATTACTTTATTTGTCAAACTAAGTGAACTACAAAGTTATTTTAAAGCATCAACACATCATTGGACCTAACCCTGCTTGAAGCCCACCAAAGTGTTTGGATGCGTATGTGTGTGTCCATCTGTCTGAAAGAGGTGTTTTAAGGTTTTGGGTACTAAAGAATCTTTGGAGCCTTCATGTTTACTCTACTGGCCAGTAGCTATGGTGGGACTGATTGGGGGTGATGAGCATGTCGAGGACTTTGGCAGACAACATAAAGACCTCCTCTGGAGATGTCCATTGTGCGAGTGACTCCCTCCGGACCTGAGAACGTACCAGATTCCGGCACATCTCGGCATGGGTCTAATACACTTCAGTCTCCAATTAGAGAATGAGTAAACCACTGCTGGGAACAGGGCAGAGCTCACTGCATCTAAAACTTTATTTGCTAGGTTTTGGGTTTAAAAATATTTTCTCATTTGTTATTATGAGTTTATGTTATTGCAATGTAATTAGAAACAAAATTCTTGAAGGCTTGGCCATATTAAATTTGTTCTTATTGCGGTCATGTTATTACTGTAGTTTTGAGGTTCAGTAGTCATTAGAGAGCTGATTATGAAAGACTTGAAATGAATAACAAGTTAGGGTCTCATATGAAAGGCGCCGTAGGTGACGAACATGTAGAAACAAAGAAATGTCGTGCAACCGCATTTATTTTTAGACATGCTTTTTGAACTGATTTAGATCATTGCCACTCATAGAAATGTTCTGTGCACCTTGGGCAACAATGAGATAAACAGCATCGCTCAAATAACCAGCATGGGGAATTCTACATAAACCTCAGCAATTTATTCTTAAATATTAGAATTTTTGTATTTTGTTTTTTACTACATACACTGGATTTGATGAAGTTAGCCAAAATATGATCTTTTTAGGGTGCAAGCTAAATAAAATTAATACTGTGACAAATCTAAGCAAATCTAAAGAACCAGATATTAACTGTGTCGGCTGGCTGCGGAAGATATTATCTTGGGACGAGCAAATGTTCAACTAATATTAGACATAACTGGGTCAAGTATAGTTACTTTTAAAATACGTCCTAGAACCTCCCAACTGTCTGATTAAAAAATACAAATAAAAATCTATTTCCTATATATAAAGGTCTGATTTCCTGCAAAGTGATTAATCTTTTTCAGACTTGACATATATATGCAATTTTCAGTATATAGTGTAATAACCCATCATCGTCATCATGATATCATCAACAAATCAGACTCAGTTGCATTTGTACTCAATCTAAAATGCATAATAAAAGAGTAAAAACTAGATTCACCCTGCAGGAATCCAATGTAGCATGACCTAATGAAACCAAATAAAAGCATTTAGATGAATCAATAGATTAAATCAGCCAAAAGCCAAATGGGCAATCAGAGTTAATGCTAGAACAGTTCTCTTAACCGAAACAACCTCACAGATGGTATTCCATATTCTTGAACCTGGATTTCAAGACATTTAAAACTGAAACCAAACAATTATGTGCAGCAGGCTATATAAGTGCATTAATTAGATTAAAGGGGTCATATGATGCTGCTAAAAAGAACATTATTTTGTGTATTTGGTGTAATGCAATGTGTTTATGCGGTTTAAGGTTAAAAAACACATTTTCCACATAATGTACATTATTGTTTCTCCTCTATGCCCCGCCTTTCTGAAACGCGTCGATTTTTACAAAGCTCATCGGTCTGAAAAGCAAGGTGTGCTCTGATTGGCCAGCTATCCGGTGAGTTGTGATTGGCTGAATACCTCAAGCGTGTGACAGAAATGTTACGCCCTACCATACTGTGAAGGAGCGACGAGACAAAAACATTAAAACCCATTATAAACGAGGCATTTGTTGCATCCAGTGGGGACTACTCTACACTGCTCAAAACTCGCATTTGAATCGTCAGTGGCAAATTCTTTAAATATAAAAACGTACTTACAGGCTGTGAGTCATGAAGCGCCAAACTGTCCTTGCAAAGTTGGAATTGCCCCACTTTAAAGAAACAGACACCGGCATTGTAGGCTATACTCTCCCAGGAAACAGTCCTCGTCCTCCATAAAATGCACACACATCTGAATATTTGGGTTGAACTGTTCCGGAACAGTGTTGTAAATACAACTTAACCACTGATTTCTAGTTGTGTCCTCTTTTGGAAGGCCAAACAAAGTAGTTTCGCTTTCATAAGGAAACACACAGCATCTCCACAACATGGCGGCGGCGGAAACAACAATACTACAGCGAGAATCAAAGTTACACCTTCAATCTTTGCGTGAACATTTGGGTGGCGTTATGCAAATCTTCCCACATCATGACGTAGACATGTGGGGGCATGTTAGAACGAGCCGTTTTAGGTAGGCGTGGTTGACTCTTAACTTTTATAAAGAATATCTCTTTGGATTTGAGACTTTAGTCTTTGCAACTTTACAGATCTTCTTTATGCACCAAGAGCTTGTAACACTCCAAAGAGAAAGGAAAAATTGAAATTGCATCATATGACCGCTTTAAACATCTCAAAAAATGTAACCAATGCTAATAGCTAAAAGGAGACTCATTTGAACACTGTGCAAAAAATATTAATGTAGCTCAACCAAATAAATGTCAGCAATAACAGTGTCTTACCTGGGTGACTGGGTAACTCAAGCTTGGGTTCACATTTTGGAAGAGAACATTCTGAAAATACAGAGAATGACAGAAAGTGATAGGGGTTAGATAAAATGCAGTACACTCTCAATCAATTCTTAGAGATGAAGGGGATTCCTGACACTTCGAAGTGAAGTTTATATAGGCATGAGCATTTTACATCATGAAACATACAGTATGGCCTAACACAGATCTCAGAACTAAAGAACGATTCACATTACATACATGTGACAGAGGAAGGGTAATGATCAGAAGTTCAGAAGTTAGAAAACCATAAAGCATAGCTAAATTTAACACTCAAAGGTTGCTTTGAATCTATTTTGATTTGAATAATCTGACTGAAACTATCTGAAACATAAAATCATGTACAGTATCTGCATCTACATCACAGTGGATGCTTTCAGGATAGCAAGGATCACCAATATATTTTTGTTATGCCGTATATTGTCATTTCCTCATCATGACTAAAACACTAAACAATCTGTAAAAATCTGATTAAATTTAAAATAAGGGTATATTTGAAATAATTATTTATTTGGTTTGAGCAAAATTGTCCTAAAGCAATAACTTCTAATACAAAAAACAAACAAAATGGGGTTTAACCATTGCAAGTGTTTTTCCAGATAAAACACTCCAGCATGTGTGTGCTTCAGCCTGTGGCTTGCTTTTAGAATGCTCTCTGGCCTATTAAGTATCCCGCTGAGACTGTGTGATATAATCTTATTTTAAAAGAGTCGACCCCCAATACAGCTAAGCCAAAATCCTCCCTTATTACACACTGAGGACTGACGCTCACTGATAAGACCTCAGTCACTCGCTGCCCTTCCTCACTGACACTGCATCAGAACACTTGGCCTTTACCCTAACCTCAACATTACATGGCAAATGTCAGTGCTGATCTGGGAGCATCTGCTGGAAAATGTACAAGCTCTTGATCAGATAAGGGTTATATGGCAGTGCCAAGGCGCAGTGGTCTCTTATCGAGAGTAAAGACCCCATGGCAGAAATGAATGATTTACCTCAACAGGTTTTTAGGTGAATGCACCTGCGGCAGTAGCTTTTCCTGATGTGTATCTTGTGCAAACACACACAATGCTACACAACACATTTTCAGGCATCAATTAATTTGATGTAAAATGAATAGTGAACTCAAAAATGAGAATTCTGTCATATAATTGACTAATTTATATGTAACTGACTCACCCCTGTGGTCTGTGGAACACAAATCTTTGCATCTTCATGTGCCATGTCTGCATGTGCAAGCGCAAATACAAAGACTTGGAATAAAGCACATTTGTACAAGTGTCTATAAGAATTGTATAGAATATTTTTTATGGTATTTTTGTTGAGTTCCTTTTATGTTCTATGGATGAAAGAATATCAGATTTGAAATGACATGAGTGATGTGAGTTCTCACAATAGAAAATCTAAATTATTGATACAAAATGTGAATGTAAACATACGGAGGGAAACGTTTACTTTTTCTGTTAATTCATATAGTTACATAAACAGTATTTTACAGTAAAATTACACATAATGCAAAGCTAAACCATTTACTTTACTTTAGCGTAGATAGATACATTATATGGAAGCTTGTTTCCGCCACTGAATAAAAAATAAAAAAGGTAATTGCAACTTTTTATCTCACAATTCTGAATTTTTTCTCGCAATTGCAAGTTTACATCTTGCAATTCTGACTTTTTTTTCAGAACTGCAAGATATAAACTCGTAACTGCGAGTCAGGATATAAACTCACAATACAGAGAAAAAATCCAAAATGGCAAGTTTATATCTCATCATAATTCCAACTTTATAATTCGCAACTGAGTTAATATCATGCAATTCTGAGAAAAGAGTCAGAATTGTGAGATACAAAGTCACAATTACCTTTTTTATTTTTTATTCAGTGACAGAAACAGACTTCCATAATATTATTTTAATTATTATTAATGCATGTAACACCTGAAACATTGTCACAGTATTTTTTACAGTGAATATCTGGCAATTATATCTACTATTTAATCTTCATTAAAGGTTAATTGAATATTTTCACTGGCCCACACAGCACAAGTGTTTGAATGACTGTGGTTTTGACTTTTGAAAGAAATCAGGAAACTATTTAGCATCTGTGTGTGCATCACTTCCTCTCCTGGGCAGCCCACTGGCTTCATCTGCCTTCATTTCAAAATCCAACTTTGAGATAAACACATCCATGACATCCTCCCCTCAAACATCTGTTCCTCATTGTAAAAACAATGTACTCTAAACTCCTTCAAGAGATGGAGAGAGAGATGTAAACTGAAATAATCTTCTTCCAATTATAGAAGATGAGATAGCAGCATTGTCTATTCATGGACCATAATGCTGTTCTGCATTTATATTCTATCGCAGCCGACTGAAACACTGACATCAAGAGCAAATTAAGAGATTTTAACCCTTCAAGTACAACTTTGGACAATAGCATGATTGTATTCTTTGAAGTACCTTGGAGTACCATGTAAGTACCATGATATGAGAATGATAATCTAATACCATGGTATTGTCACAGTGCATTTTTGTAAAGGATGATTACATGAATGGTACGGTTACTAAGCTTACTGCTATGTAATGCCTTGCTTCTCTTTATCTTAAAAGTTATTTTCCTGGTCGAATCGATTCTGCATCTGCAGCGACCACATTACAGCACTAGCGTGGAGTAGGGTCAGATGATATTTGCTCATTCAGGGCTTCATTATATTACATAATGCAATGCTTTCTACTTCACAAGCCATAATGGCTATGCTGAACCTCACAGGCTACCGTAAACAAGCTTGCAATTCAGTTTAAATAAGTTGGACTCTGGGCTCTGGTTCAGGATACTTGGTTCCCCTTCAGGAACTCGAGCTGCGTCGAGTCGCTTTGGGAACGCCCTTGCGTGACCGCGTTCTGAAGCACGTGTCAAATCCGTCCAATGGAGCAGCGAGACGTCACAAGCAGGGTGACGTAAGCACCAGAAAGCATAAAGGCACATCCGGCCGGGCGCAAACCAGCTTCTGCTCTTCAGTAGCGCTCTGTGTATGTGTCTGTCTATTTACTGTTGTCTGTCCGCACAAGCACTCATATATATAAAACAATGAGAAAGTCTATGACGAGCGAACGGCATTACAAACGCTGTGTTTCTCCCTGCCCACGATATCTGGCAGCAGGGGATACACACGATGTGTGTGTCGTTTGTTTAGGAGCAGAGCATGCACGGTCAGCTTTCCAGCAGCTGATTGTCATCACTGCGAGCTCTCGCTGCGCACGCTCCGCTCTCGCCTGGCTGCGTTTGATGACAGCGGCCAAAGGATTTTCCCTGAGGGGGAATCCGCTTTGCATGATCAAGGTCACGCGGCGATGCTTACGTGCCTTAGACATGTGGAAGAAACGTTGGTTCCTGGTTCAAGGCCCGACGTTAGGGGCTCCTTGTCGTCGCGTAAGGCTAACGACGGATGCCTCTCTCACGGGCTGGGGAGCGGTCATGAGTGGCCGCTCTGCCTAGGGTCTGTGGGAAGGCCATCATCTCTTTGGCACATCAACTGCCGGGGAATGCTGGCCGTGTTTCGAGCTCTGACACACTTCCTTCCAGACCTAAGGGGGCATCATGCGTTTGTCCGCACAGACAACACATCGGTGGTCCCCTACATCAATCGGCGGAGTTATGGAAGCTGTGGGCATGGCCCCTGAGGG